GTTGTTACCCGTTGCTACCTGTTGCTACCCGTTGCTACCTGTTGCTACCCGTTGCTACCCGTTGCTCCCTGTTGCTACCCGTTGCTACCTGTTGCTACCCGTTGCTACCTGTTGCTACCCGTTGCTACCTGTTGCTACCCGTTGCTACCTGTTGCTACCCGTTGCTCCCTGTTGCTACCCGTTGCTACCTGTTGCTCCCTGTTGCTACCCGTTGCTCCCTGTTGCTACCTGTTGCTACCTGTTGTTACCCGTTGCTACCTGTTGTTACCCGTTGCCACCTGTTGCTACCTGTTGCTACCCGTTGCTACCCGTTGCTCCCTGTTGCTACCTGTTGCTACCCGTTGCCACCTGTTGCTCCCTGTTGCTACCCGTTGCTACCTGTTGTTACCCGTTGCTACCCGTTGCTACCTGTTGCTACCTGTTGCTACCCGTTGCTACCTGTTGCTACCTGTTGCTACCCGTTGCTACCTGTTGCTACCCGTTGCTACCTGTTGCTACCCGTTGCTACCTGTTGCTCCCTGTTGCTACCCGTTGCTACCCGTTGCTACCCGTTGCTACCTGTTGCTACCTGTTGCTACCCGTTGCTACCTGTTGCTACCTGTTGCTACCCGTTGCTACCTGTTGCTCCCTGTTGCTACCCGTTGCTACCTGTTGCTACCCGTTGCTACCCGTTGCTACCTGTTGCTACCTGTTGCTACCTGTTGCTACCTGTTGCTACCCGTTGCTACCCGTTGCTACCCGTTGCTACCTGTTGCTCCCTGTTGCTACCTGTTGCTACCCGTTGCTACCCGTTGCTACCTATTGCTACGTACTAGTCCAGCGTATACCCACCGTTACGGTGAATCGTGCGTGTACGTACCTCACGTGCCTTGTGTGTACTTCACGTGCCAGTACACACGTCAGACGACACGTCCTAGTACACAGGTGACACGTCCCAGTACACAGGTGACACGTCCCAGTACACAGGTGACACGTCCCAGTACACAGGTGACACGTCCCAGTACAGTCAGGTGACACGTCCCAGTACAGTCAGGTGACACGTCCCAGTACACAGGTGACACGTCCCAGTACACACGTCAGACGACACGTCCCAGTACACAGGTGACACGTTCCAGTACACACGTCAGACGACACGTCCCAGTACACAGGTCAGGTGACACGTCCCAGTACACAGGTCAAGTGACATGTCCCAGTACATAGTCAGGTGACACGTCCCAGTACATAGGCGACACGTCCCAGTACACAGGTCAAGTGACATGTCCCAGTACATAGTCAGGTGACACGTCCCAGTACAGTCAGGTGACACGTCCCAGTACAGTCAGGTGACACGTCCCAGTACACAGGTGACACGTCCCAGTACACACGTCAGACGACACGTCCCAGTACACAGGTGACACGTCCCAGTACACAGGTCAGGTGACACGTCCCAGTACACAGGTCAAGTGACATGTCCCAGTACATAGTCAGGTGACACGTCCCAGTACATAGGCGACACGTCCCAGTACACAGGCGACACGTCCCAGTACACACGTCAGACGACACGTCCCAGTACACAGGTGACACGTCCCAGTACACAGGTGACACGTCCCAGTACACACGTCAGACGACACGTCCCAGTACACAGGTGACACGTCCCAGTACACAGGTCAGGTGACACGTCCCAGTACATAGGCGACACGTCCCAGTACACAGGTGACACGTCCCAGTACACAGGTGACACGTCCCAGTACACAGGTGACACGTCCTAGTACACAGGTGACACGTCCTAGTACACAGGTGACACGTCCCAGTACACAGGTCAGACGACACGTCCCAGTACACAGGTGCCACCTCCTCCCAGTACACAGGTCAGGTGACATAAGCTACACACACATATGACAACTGTAACCAAAGCTCTCCTTGATGATATCTGTGACATCAACACCAGGCAGCTCGAACCGGTTCCATAACAGTAGCCTCGGTGCTGCTGGTATCAGGGGGACGAGATAGGATGAATTAGTGGAACATTGTCCACTGTCCGCTCCTTTGCTATTCATCCTGGCTCTCTGGGGTCGTTGTTGTCGTCGCTGTTGGCTCTTGTCGAAGAGTGCTTCTTTTGTCGTTGTCTGTCAGTCGTTCCTTGTCACCACACGCCCTCGACTGTCAGGCTCAACTGTCAAGTCGTTTACCCCACCTCTGTTCCCTAGTCGAGTCGTGGGGTCGTTCCAAATACCGTAACCCACCCCCACCCCCCTCCCCTACACACACCATTAGTCGCCACCCCCCTTAATTTCGTCCACACCTGCCTCTCATTCCCCCTCTCCCAACCCTTACCCCTTCCCCCCTTCCCCTTTTCCCCATACCCCCCCTCTTCCTTCCACCCCTCCTCTCACCCCCCCCCCATCAACCATCACCCCTCCCCCACACTTCTCAACGCCTGTATCACCCACCACAATCAACCACAATCCAGCACATTTGGCCTTGATGCAGTCATAAACTCGTCTCTATACGAGTATTTCATTACCAATAATAGTGTTGCTACCCTCTATATTATCTTCAATTACTTATGCATTTTTCTCTTAAGACTCCCCAAGCGTATGAAATTATTGCCAAATAATAATAGGGAACATTTACAAAGCATGTGTAGTCGTTCGAGGCTCCACAGATCTCAACATATTGCTCTTGAATCTCCTTGAGTTAGAGTTGTTTAAAGTGTGGGGGAGAAAAACTTGTTTTGTCAATACCAGAGACGTTCGTGTGAATTTTAATGCTAGATTGTGTTTGATATGTTTTTTTGTTTTGTTTCCTGGTTGCTTCTCTTGTTTGAGTTGTGTCTTGGCTTCTACCTTCTTTGTTTTTTGTTCTCTTGTTTCATTATTAATGATTTGGTTTTCTCTTTTTCCCTTGTGTGAAGAATTTATTGCAGAATATTTCTCAGGTTATAGAGGTGTAGAGATGGTGTGTAAGTCGTGTGTGATTTGTGTCAGTTGTGTATCAGATTTGTGTCAGATGTTGATCAGTAGAGTGTCAGTTGTGTATCAGTTGTATATCACTTGTGTATCACTTGTGTATCAGTTGTGTTAGATGTTTATCAGTAGAGTGTCAGTTGTGTATCAGTTGTGTTGGGGCCGCAGGGACGTTGATCCTCAGAGTCATCAACAGGAACAGGTCAACACCAACGATTCAGTCCAATCATCAACAGGACGGACTCCAGGAGCCTGAAGGTTGCATAAAAAAAAACACCTTCACACACACACACACACACACACACACACACTCAGTGTCAGATTAAACACCTGTAATTAAACTCTCCACCGACTGCAATTGCTCCACTGCAACTGACTACCTGTAAACGAAAACAAAAACACCTGATTAATAATTTTCTGTGACTCAAAGTCTGCTCTACAAACACATGAAAAATATCTGCAAAAACGACAGCATAAACCTCATATTAGCAATTATGTATAACCTGCTCGCTGCACAGAATAAAGTGATTTTTTTTTTCAATGAACACTATCTCACCCTAATATTAGCCATCTTGATGAACCACCGTTGCAACTACCACCACCAACCACCATTGTAGCAACCACAAACCACCAACATTGCAACCACTACCAACCACCCTTGTACACAGACGATAGACCCAAATTATCTGAATTAGACCTACGTAATACTAGGTATCCTTATCTATGTTGTCAAGACTATAATGTTAAAACATTCAGGTCTGATAGGAGAGAAAATTACTGACTCCAAAAGACCTGAAAGCACCAGTATAAATAATTATGATTTGTTTCAATCCGAAACTTGTGGCAAAACTTTGTGACCAGGAACTGGGTCATCACCTCGCATACAACATAGTGGATACAATCCACTACAGTAGTGTATTATAGTGGATACAATTGACTACAATCCTGCAGGTACTTGTTCAATTGTCTCTTGAACATGTTCACATGTGTTCCGACAATATCTCTAATATTTGGTGGGATGGGGTTGAACAACATTGTATCTTTGATGTTCAGACTATGTTCTCTCATTGTGGCTATGGCACCTCTATTCCCCACTGGGCCTTTCCTGCACTTATTGCTCCGTGAGGCAGTGAATATGAGCAACATCCTCTCTGATATGTGGCAGTGAATATGAGCAACATCCTCTCTGATATGTGGCAGTGAATATGAGCAACATCCTCTCTGATATGTGGCAGTGAATATGAGCAACATCGTCAATGCAATACAGCCTCACTAAATTACTCAGATTAATCAAAACGGTTCATAAATTATGTCAATAATGGATTAATAAATAACTCAAGAGTCCCCAGGGCTTCGTGCCCCATACCCCTCCCCCCTTCCCTTGTACCCTAACCCCCCCCCCCCCTCAACCCTCCAGTACCCAAACCCTCCCACCACCCCTCCCATCCAACCCCCTCCACAGACACCAAACCCCACCCCACCGGCGGCGTCTCTTCAAGGCTGCATCAATGCAAACAGTTGTCAAGCCTCCTGTCACCCGTGTCATGTCATCAATGGTGCGTGTCATGTCATCAATGGTGCGTGCAACGGTTGCACAGGTCACACAGCGAGGCAGGATTGGCGTGAAAAGGAGGAATAGGCATGGCGATTGATTAACAAAACAAGGGTAAATGAGATGCAAGGGAAGGGGTTAACTTTTTTCTTTGCAACGTGAGGGGAAGGGAGAGGGAGAAGGGAAAGGGTAAACAAATAGGGGAAAGGGGTGGACAGCGAGGAGGTAAGGGGGGGGGGGGGGAAGGGGTTGTATTTTCTCTTCCCTGTTTTGTATTCTTATGTATTCTTTATTTTACATCTCTATTATCCTTATTCCACAATCTCCATCCTCACCATACCCCACAATCATCATTCACCAGAGTCACCGTCCTCATTATTCTCGACAATTATCATCATACTCCACAATCACCATCGTCATTATATTCGACAAGTATCATACCCCTGACCACAATCAATGTCTGCTCTTATCGTGCACACTCAATGTCTGCTCCCACCGTCACAATGTCTGCTCCCACCGTCACAATGTCTGCTCCCACCGTCACAATGTCTGCTCCCACCGTCACAATGACCGTCACAATGTCTGCTCCCACCGTCACGATCAATGTCTGCTCCCACCGTCACGATCAATGTCTGCTCCCACCGTCACGATCAACGTCTGCACCCACCGTCACAATCAATGTCTGCTCCCACCGTCACGATCAATGTCTGCTCCCACCATCACAATCAATGTCTGCTCCCACCGTCACAATCAATGTCTGTTCCCACCGTCACAATCAATGTCTGCTCCCACCGTCACAATCAATGTCTGCTCCCACCGTCACAATCAATGTCTGCTCCCACCGTCACGATCAATGTCTGCTCCCACCGTCACAATCAATGTCTGCTCCCACCGTCACAATCAATGTCTGCTCCCACCGTCACCATCAACGTCTGCTCCCACCGTCACAATCAACGTCTGCTCCCACCGTCACAATCAATGTCTGCTCCCACCGTCACGATCAATGTCTGCTCCCACCGTCACAATCAACGTCTGCTCCCACCGTCACAATCAACGTCTGCTCCCACCGTCACAATCAATGTCTGCTCCTACCGTCACAATCAACGTCTGCTCCCACCGTCACGATCAACGACTGCTCCCATCGTCACAATCAATGTCTGCTCCCACCGTCACAATCAATGTCTCCTCCCACCGTCACAATCAATGTCTGCTCCCACCGTCACAATCAATGTCTGCTCCCACCGTCACAATCAATGTCTGCTCCCACCGTCACAATCAATGTCTGCTTCCACCGTCACGATCAATGTCTGCTCCCACCATCACAATCAATGTCTGCTCCCACCGTCACGATCAATGTCTGCTCCCACTGTCACAATCAAGTTAAGACTGTCAGTTAAGACTGCCGCCACAACACGTCTAAGGACGTGACTTCACGTGACGAGAGATGTGCACGTAGTATCAAAGGTGTGCATGATGTCTAGATGCGCACATGCCAGTATGCCAATGACGTCAGAGGTGCACATGCCACTTGACATCCGAGATGTCACATGCACATGATTCTTAGATTCTTAGATTCTTAGATTTTTCTAGTGATAGAAAACTATTTACTCCATCATTCTGTTTCTTCGTCTTAATCCTTCTCCTCTTCCACCTCTCTTTCCTCCCCCCGATCCTATTCCGTCTATCACGTCTATTTTATTCCGTCTATCACGTCTATTTTATTCCGTCTATCGCCACTATTCCACTCCTTACGAATTCTCACTGACCGCTGAAGGATTCCTTCTAACACTCTCTCGGGTCCTTGCTGGAAACAGAAAGATTCTTTCCTGGAATCCCTAGCGGTTCCTTTATCCAAGATAACCTTAAGTCAGGATTTCCAACGGGAACTGGATACATCCAGCGGCCGGTGGTCAGGAAATTGAGGGTTAGCTCTAATAGGGAAAATAGGGCGCTTTGGGAAAACAGGGGTTTCCTATCTGTGGGGTGGGGAAAAATAGGGAAATAAATATTCTGAAGTCTGGACCTTGTTCTTGAAGGGTGGGGGGGAGGGGGATAGAACCCCATTTTTCTGCCCATGACTTGACCTGAAACTCCCTCACCCCCCCCCCCTATTTACCCCATTTAGCAAAGTTTCAGGGGTCACGCCACCAAAGGGAGTTATTAAGGGGTCAGGCTACAAATAACCTTAAATTTGACTAAATGATTTCCATGCATATTAAAGTGGGTAATTAATCATTGCGACGGCGTAACGCATTGATAATCTGCGGAAGATAATATAAATCCGGACAGTATGCGCCCACAGTGTTATTATCGGGGAAATTAAGAGGGGGGTGCAATAGGGGCAGGGGGAAATTGAGGGTTAGCTCTAATAGGGAAAATAGGGCGGTTTGGGGAAACAGGGGTTTACTGTGTGTGTGGGGTGGGGAAAGGAAGTGAATATTCTGAAATATGTAGAAGGGGGTTAGTTTGTGAGAAGGGGTAGGCTGTGAGAAGGGGTAGTCTGTGAGAAGGGATAGTCTGTGAGAAGGGGTAGTCTGTGAGAAGGGGTAGTCTGTGAGAAGGTGTAGTCTGTGAGAAAGGGATAATCTGGTACAAAGTATGACAGGAGAGACGGGAGGGGGGGGGAAGAGGTGCATTAGGTGAAGGGATCGCAGAAAAGGAAGAGGTGGAGAATGCGATGAAAGGTAATAGAAAATTGAAAATAAATATTTGCCACTGAAGATTGTATAATTTAGAGAAAAGAGAAAAGTAGTGGAATGAAAGAAGAAAATAGAAGGGATGAGAAATTAAGAGATTGGATGAGAGAGAGAGAGAGAGAGAGAGAGAGAGAGAGAGAGAGAGAGAGAGAGAGAGAGAGAGAGAGAGAGAGAGAGAGAGAGAGAGAGAGAGAGAGAGAGAGAGAGAGAGAGAGAGAGAGAGAGAGAGAGAGAGAGAGAGAGAGAGAGAGAGAGAGAGAGAGAGAGAGAGAGAGAGAGAGAGAGAGAGAGAGAGAGAGAGAGAGAGAGAGAGAGAGAGAGAGAGAGAGAGAGAGAGAGAGAGAGAGAGAGAGAGAGAGAGAGAGAGAGAGAGAGTGAGAGAGAATAGACGAAATATTCTTCCACCATGTTGCGTGCCAGTCTGTTGTGCTCAAAATTTCATTGTTGAACAATGAAATACATATGTCTACGAAATATGTCTGTTGAAAAATATATTCAGTATATAAAATAAATACCACACACACACACACACACACACACACACACACACACACACACACACACACACACACACACACACACACACACACACACAGAATGACGTTAGAAAGAATTTTTTCAGTGTCAGAGTAGTTAATAAATGGAATGCATTAGGCAGTGATGTGGTGGAGGCTAACTCCATACACAGTTTCAAATGTAGATATGATAGAGCCCAGTAGGCTCAGGAATCTGTACACCAGTTGATTGACAGTTGAGAGGCGGGACCAAGGAACCAAAGCTCAACCCCCGCAAGCACAATTAGGTGAGTACACACACACACACTCACACAGGTTGCAGAGATGGTCAGAGAAATGGCTACTGGAATTCAACACGAGCAAATGTAAAGTTATGGAAATGGGACTAGGAGATAGGAGACCAAAGGGACAGTACACAATGAAGGGGAACAGCCTACCTGTAACGACGCGTGAAAGAGACCTGGGGGTGGACGTAACACCTAATCTATCTCCTGAGGCACATATAAATAGGATAACGACAGCAGCGTACTCTACACTGGCAAAAGTTAGAACATCATTCAGAAACCTAAGTAAGGAGGCATTTAGGGCGCTTTACACTGCCTACGTAAGGCCAATCTTAGAGTATGCCACCTCATCATGGAGTCCCCATCTGAAGAAGCATATAATGAAACTGGAAAAGGTTCAGAGGTTTGCAACGAGACTCGTCCCAGAGCTACGAGGGATGGGGTATGAGGAGCGCCTGAGGGAACTGTGCCTTACGACACTAGAAAGAAGAAGGGAGAGGGGGGACATGATAGGAACGTATAAGATACTCAGAGGGATTGACAGAGTGGACATAGACGAAATGTTCACACGGAATAGTAACAGAACGAGGGGACATGGATGGAAGCTTGAAACTCAGATGAGTCACAGAGATGTTAGGAAGTTTTCTTTTAGCGTGAGAGTAGTGGGAAAATGGAATGCACTTCAAGAACAGGTTGTGGAAGCAAATACTATTCAAAATTTTAAAACCAGGTATGATAGGGAAATGGGACAGGAGTCATTGCTGTAAACAACCGATGCTCGAAAGGCGGGATCCAAGAGTCAATGCTCGATCCTGCAGACACAACTAGGTGAGTACAACTAGGTGAGTACACACACACACACACACACACACACACACACACACACACACACACACACACACACACACACACACACACACACACACACACATCATACACCATAACACCAACACTTGGCTCAGCACACTTGCTCAGCTGTAACCTCGCGGAGACATGACCCTGATGTAAGTGGTTTATGGAAGCTTTAGCTGGCGCTGCGCTTCTAACCCACGATTGAGTTTCCAGCTTGTGTTTGGTATTCATGGAGGTGAGAGCGCGGCGGCCTGCCTACCCTCGCCCCCTTGGCCGGCCTGGGCGAGGCACGCCCAACACATACACATTGGAAAACTTAATAGAATCAGAGTCTAGTGTGATACGCTGCATGGAGGTGGGCTTTGCCTCTCGTGGGGGGTGGAGCTCTAGAAGGGTGTGGTTTCTGCAGGGTGAGGCTCCTGTTAGGGGTGTGGCTCTGGAAGGGTGTGGTTTCTGTAGGGTGAGGTTCCTGTTAGGGGTGTGGCTCTGGAAGGGTGTGGTTTCTGTAGGGTGAGGTCTATGTTAGGGGAGTGGCTCTGGAAGGGTGTGGTTTCTGTAGGGTGAGGTCTATGTTAGGGGAGTGGCTCTGGAAGGGTGTGGTTTCTGTAGGGTGAGGCTCCTGTTAGGGGTGTGGCTCTTGAAGGGTGTGGTTTCTGCAGGGTGAGGTTCCTATTAGGGGTGAGGCTCTGGAAGGGTGTGGTTTCTGTAGGGTGAGGCTCCTGTTAGGGGTGTGGCTCTGGAAGGGTGTGGTTTCTGCAGGGTGAGGCTCCTGTTAGGGGTGTGGCTCTGGAAGGGTGTGGTTTCTGTAGGGTGAGGTCTATGTTAGGGGAGTGGCTCTGGAAGGGTGTGGTTTCTGTAGGGTGAGGTCTATGTTAGGGGAGTGGCTCTGGAAGGGGAGTGGGCTCTGTTAGGGGTGTGGCTCTTGAAGGGTGTGGTTTCTGCAGGGTGAGGGGGGTGTCTGGAAGGGTGTGGTTTCTGTAGGGTGAGGCTCCTGTTAGGGGTGTGGCTCTTGAAGGGTGTGGTTTCTGCAGGGTGAGGTTCTCTATGTGGTAGGGTGAGGCTCTCTGGAAGGGTGTGGTTTCTGTAGGGTGAGGTCTATGTTAGGGGAGTGGCTCTGGAAGGGTGTGGTTTCTGTAGGGTGAGGTCTATGTTAGGGGAGTGGCTCTGGAAGGGTGTGGTTTCTGTGAGGGTGAGGGTGTGGTTTCTGTAGGGTGAGGCTCCTGTTAGGGGTGTGGCTCTTGAAGGGTGTGGTTTCTGAAGGGTGTGGTTTCTGTAGGGTGAGGTCTATGTTAGGGGAGTGGCTCTGGAAGGGTGTGGTTTCTGTAGGGTGAGGCTCCTGTTAGGGGTGTGGCTCTTGAAGGGTGTGGTTTCTGCAGGGTGAGGTTCCTATTAGGGGTGAGGCTCTTGAAGGGTGTGGTTTCTGTAGGGTGAGGTCTATGTTAGGGGAGTGGCTGTGGAAGGGTGTGGTTTCAGCAGGGTGAGGCTCCTGTGGGGGGTGTAGCTCTTTATATTTCTGTCTATACAAATGAACTCTCCGTAACACACACACTCCATCACATGCTAATTTAACAAATTACCATCAACAGACTCAACAACCAGTTTACTAGAAAAGTCACGATATAAAGATTATAAATTATTTCCTAAGAAACATGAAGGAGCTACTCTGCAACTTTAACCAAGTTATGAAAAGATAATTGTGACGAAGACTAGTTTACTTGCCAGCCAAACTTAAGGAGTCAAAAGTTAAGTCCTGCATGAATGTTCACCATCTTTATCCTACCTACTAGGGGCCTGATAGCTGAGTGGACAGCGCTTGAGATTCGCGGTCCTAAAGTTCCGGGTTTGATCCCCGGTGGAGGCGGAAATAAATGGGGTAGAGTTTCTTTCACCCTGATTGCCCTGTTTCCCTAGCAATAAATAGGTACCTGGGAGTTAGATAGCTGATACGGGCTGCTTCCTGGGGGTATGTAACAACAAGGAGGCCTGGTCGAGGACCGGGCCGCGGGAACGCTAAGCCCCGAAATCATCTCAAGATAGCAGCGAGCGTCTA